CCTGGGGGCGGGTCAGTGGGGGGCCCTGAGCCTGGGAGGCAGCCCCTGGGGGCTCCGGGAGGCTCGCTGCTCAGTCACAGCACCCTGAGGTGGCCCCGAGGACAGCTCCATTTCCCCAGCTCCCCATTTTGGCAGGAGGCCCCCAGTGCTGGCGGTGTCCGGTGCGCAGGAAATGCAGGGTGCGGGGGACCAGGCCTGCTGCTCTGTGCCCAGCTTGGGTCTTGTTTACCCGTGAAGGGCCAGGGCCACCAGCCAGCCCCGTGGCCTGAGTTAACTCGGTCTCCAGGATAAACACCCCTTCAGCCGCACAAGGACCCTTTGTCCCTGAGAGGCTCCGGGCCCAGGACGCTGCCCGGCGGCCTGTGGCCTCGACACGGCCGGCCGCCCGACATGGCCTTCTCCGGGCAGAGTCCTGGCCTGGCTCAGAGGCCCAGCGGGGGGACAGGGCACTGGGCAGCTCCCAGAGTGGCTCGAGGAGGTCCCCCCAGGCCCCTCCACAGCAGCCCTGGCCCCTGAAGAGAGGGGGCCTGGGGCCCTCAGCCACACGTGCCCAGGGCAGGCGAGGAGGCCAGAGCAGGGCTGCTGTGCCTGTCCCTCCGAGCCACGGGGCAGCTGAGCCCTGAGGCGCCAGGCCCACTGGCTTCTCAGCCCGCACCCCCAGAGACACCCTGTGCCCGCCTGGCTTCTCCCCAGCCAACGGTTGCTGGTTCCAGGCCTGTTTCCTTGTCTATGGAGTGGGCCTTGCAGGCTCGTAAAGGCCCCTCGGCTCCTAGGGTCCTCCTGGGTAGGAATGCACCCCATTTTGTCGGGGTGAGGGGTGGGATAGGGGGTTCCAGTACAGGGGTGGGGCTGATGTGGGGTGGGAGCAGGGAAGGGGTTACTTGGTTGGGGCAAGGGTGAGGGAGGGGCCCAGAGCCCTGTTCGGGAGGCGCATAAACTGAGACATTATGTCTGCTCTTGGGGGGCTGCCTTCCGGGGGCCAAGTCCCCTAAACCAAACAACCCACGGAGCAGGGCAGTGGCATGGAGGGCTGCAGAGCCCTGAGCATGGGGCTGCTTGGTCAGCGTGGGGTCTGGGCCTGCCTGCCGAGGGGAGGCCGAGGTGGGGTCTGTACATCTGAGACACACTTATGCTTAGGCCTCAAGGGCCGCAGCGCTGCTTTACCGAGGGCCACATGCTGGGGCTGGCCTGGGCGGAGCTGGTGGGAGGGCCCCACCACACATTTCAGTTGGGGGTGTCAGGGAAGCCCCTTGAGAAGTGGCCAGGGGTCTGTGGGGCAGCCAACTTCTGCTGGGGCTGAGGGGCTGGAGGCTCTTCCTTGAGGCAGCCTTCGCTCCTAGGCTTCACGGGGCTGGAGGCAGCCACCACAGCTATGAAGACACTGCAGGCACTAAGTGTTAGCCAGCCACACCGCCTAGTCCCTCAGTGACACTTTGGTGGGCGAGGGCCTCGCCATGGGGCCAGCCATCACCTTGCCTGCCTATTGGCTTTTTTACACGAAAACTCAGTCCACTTAGATTTTGATCTGTGGTCACGAGGCAGACACTCCCCAAGGGCCACACGGCTGCGCCTCAAGCAAGGCTGCCCACCTCTCGGCAGTGCCGAGGTGCGGGCAGTGCAGGGCTGAAGGCACAGTGGGCAGCTGTGGTGGCTTCGGCCACAGCTGGAAGCTTTCAACTGAATCGAGACCAGGGCAGGTTCAGTGCTTAAACTTAAGGAAAACTTTATTTAATCTTTTTTTTTTTTAAGTAATCTAGTTTAAAAATGAGCTGAGGTTAGGAGAGAATATGACATCTTCCAACAGACAGACACGCAGACAGATAGACAGACAGACAGGGGCGGGGTAGGGGGCAGGGCGAGGACCCTGTCAGATCTTCTCCATCTTGGAAATGAGGTCGTCACAGATTCTGGTCAGTTCATCGTTTTCTTTAGTCTGAAGGAGAAACATCACACACCTGGATTTCTCACAATGGCCAAGGTGAGTGCGTGGCTCCGGACTCAAAGGCCGGGAGGGAGTGTGGCTGGCCCAGCCTGGGAGTGGCCCCGCTGCCCGCCCCGCTGCCCGCGCCCACCTTCTGCTCCACCGCCTTCTCCAGCGAGTGGACGCGCATCTGCTCCTTCCGCAGGCTCGCCTGGAAGGCCAAGGCCTCCGCTTGGGCCTTGCTGCGGACCTGGGCGATCTCCTCGTTTGCCCTGGAAAGCAGAGGGCAGGCTGAGCCCCCGCCGCCGGCCCCCGCCCCCGGCCCGCGGCGCGCCCTACTCACTGCTGGAGCTTCTCCTCCGCGTGGGCCTTCAGCGCCTGGTAGCGCTGGCCCTCCGCCTCGATCCTGACGATGTAGTCCTCCACGCACTTCTTCAGCGACTCCTCGTTCTTTAGGGGACGGGTGGGCGTTAGCTGTGAGCAGCCTGCTCTTCTGTGTCTGGGCTTGGCTTTCAGGGGCCCCGCGGTCAGGTGGACAGGGCCCCAGCGTGGGACTTTAGCACAGAAGCTCAGACAGGAAGGCCCCAGGAGCACGGCACTTCCTGTTTTTTTTGGAAAGGTCCCTCCACACACACAGCCCTGGACGCTGGGCCTGACCCTGGCCCCTCTCTGCTGCCGTCACCGCCTGCAGGCCAGGCTCTGACTGCTGCACACCCCACCCAGGGTGCCACTGAGGTCTAGCGGGGCCCCGGCCCTCCTCAGCAAGGCAGATGCTAGCTCCTCGTGCCTACTGTCACCTAGGCACTCTGTCGGCCGCCGTGGCCCTGTCTCTAGCTCCCCTGCTCAAGCACCCTGCACGGCCCCAGGGAAAGGTGTGGCCAGGTGCTGAGTCTGAGGAACTGGGAGGGGCAGGGCTGGGGGGTGGTGTGTGCGTGTGCCCATGTCCATGTCCCCCCAGCATGGTGGGGGCTCCAGCTCTAAGCCCAGACAAGGTTCAGGCCCAGGCCGGCCGGGCTCGGCGCCAGGTCCCGCCTACCGTGCGGTAGCCTTCGATCACTTCCTTCTGCTTCTCAAACCGCTTCAGGAGGCCGGAGAACGACTTCCCCATGGCGCTCAGGTCTGCAGCCAGCTGGTCTTTTTCCTTCAGAACCTTCTGGATCTCAGCTTCGGCACGTTCCTTCTGTTTCTGAGCCTCCTCTTAAGGAAGAAAAGCAAACACGTGGGACCGGGGCAGCCATGCCGATGCCCGCGTGGCCGAGGGCGGGGGGCGAGCGGGCACTGTGGCGTGCCTGAGGCCGCTGGAGGGAGGGGCCCGGAGCAGCCATTCCCCTCACCACCAGGCGCACTGTGAACCCGGGGCCCGGCAGCAGAGGTCCCCGAGGAAGGGAGTCACGGCGACACCTGTTCCCACCTTTGGGGACCTCCGGAAACCCAAGTCCTTGCCCGGGAGACGCCCGGTACTCCCGTCCTGCAGCCCTGGGCACACCTGGGACCCGATACTCACAGAGACCAAAGCTGGACGTGCAGCCACCTGGGGGACAGATTGTGACAGGCGGCCGTGGCAGGAACCCCAGGTGTCCCCCAGCTGCCGGCTCAGGGTCTGCCCATTTTGGGGGCAAAGAACGCCCGCCACACGGCCTCCCCACCCACGCGCAGCTCTCCTGCGGGGACCGCTACTAGGAAGGGGCCCTGGCTCCTGGTGCTCACCCAGCGACTGGTACACGACTCGCTCGAAGCCGTCCATGACCTTCCTGCGGGAGGAGGGCAGTGCCGTGAGCGCCTGTGGAGGCCGCCGCAGGCGGAGCCGGCCCCGCCGCAGGCCTTACCCCATCTCCAGGTTCTTGGCGTGCAGCGCCTCGCACCTGCTCCGCAGCTGCAGGTTCTCCTTCTGCGTCGCCGCCACCTGCACGAAGCACACGCAGCTGGAGCTGGGCGCCCCCCACGCCCGGGGGCCGAGCTGCAGGATGGGCTTCGAGGAGCCTGGCGGTCAGGCACGGGCCTCGTGCCTCACCTGCTGGATGTCACCGGGCTGGGCCAGCAGGTGGCCCAGCAAGAGCTGGGTCCCCACCGGCCCCCCACCGGCCCCCAGGGGCCTGTGCCTGTGTGCGGGTGGGTGTGGGGGCCGGGAGAGCAGCCCGTGGAGGGGAGGGGGGGAACCAGCGGCTGAGAACACCACGCTGGAAGGCAGAGGGCCCCACATCGTGAGCTGCTGAGCAGGGCAGGCGGCCATCGGATAATGCAGCTGCTGGCAGGCGCAGCCTTTACGTGTTTGGTCGGAGTCTGTCCCCGAAGGGCCTAGCTGGACACTGAGGGGTCAGTGGGGCCTGAGGCCCAACCCCTTGGGGAGGAAGCAAGCTCTCTGTGGGACATGGTTAGGAGCACACGCTCCTCCACTAACTGGACACGGGCTGGGGCCGAGCGCGTGGACACCTCCGGCTCCGCCTGCGGCAGCACGAGGGTGACCAGCACTGGACCGTCCTCCCTCAGCTCGCGGCGAGTCCCCTGAGCAGCCCCCGGCGCCGTGCCTGGGCTGCGGCCAACACGCGGGACGGTGCACCATGACCCCGCGCTCCCCACGCGTCCTCACCGCTGCGTCCAGGTCCTTCTGGCTGTACTGAAGCACGTCCACAATGGGCCCCATGGGCAGCAGCGGGCCCCCAGGCCCGAGGACACATGGAGGCGGGCCCAGCACCTGCGGAGTGGCAGGGCAGCTGGGCCACAAGCGCCTCTGGCATTCACCCCACCCTGCTACCAGGGGGGATGGGTCCTTGGAGGCGGGAGGCTCCTGGGACAGCATAGCCGTGACCAGTGACAAGGAGCGGTCCCACGAACTCCCCACCCAACCAAGCATGTGGAGCCGCAGCACTCACGGGGCCGGCCGGGGCTGCGGGCAAGTCGAGGTCCACTAGCGTCGCCTCGAGGGGGCCCCCGCAGGAGGGCGCGTCTGCAGCCTGCATGCTGTGGTGGGGACAGGGGGACAGCTGTTTCCCCCGGACGGGCTCTGCCCAGGCCCTCCCCAGGGCCCAGAGTGAGCACAAGGGTGTGCGGGCCACGTGGCCTGTCTCGACTGGCAACCTGTGGTCGCAGTGCGAGCGTGGCTGTGCAGCTGCCAGAGGGACGTGGGGCCATGCCTGCAAAACCTCAGAGACAGGCAACGGGCCGGCTGTCCTGCCCCCGTGCCCGCGGCCATCCTGGCCCCAGTCTCCACCGACTCCTCCTCCTCAGAGCCTCACGGGGCCTGCGTCCCAGAGGGTGAGTCCAGAACGTCTCCTTGTCCAGAAGTCTCTGCCTGGGGCGACCAAGCCCATGACGGGGAGGTGGGGGAGGCAGGTACCTGGGGGTCTCGGGGGCCGCGGGCACCAGTCTCTGAGGACTGCCATTCAAGAGCGGGTCGAACTTGAGGTACAAGGACTGCTTCCTCAGCGCTGACTCCTTAAACTGAGGGGGGCAGGCAAGTCAGCAGGGTCCCCGGTATCCCCGACAGACAACCCTGAGAGCACAGGGCCAGCGCAGGGCCAGGGGAGGTCATGGCACACGGTGAGACACCAAGGCGCGACTGTCCTCCGCACAAAGCAGTGTGAACCCCGGGATAGGACTGTGTTGGGACCAGGGGTGCAGTGGAGAAGAGGCTGCAGAACAGGGGCCCTGGAGAGACTCGGCCAGCCATGGCGCTGCCCGGCAGAGCACCTCCTGGCCACACGTGGACATGGCTGACGTTGGGGCTCAGGAAGCGTCGGGCTCGCCTCCATGCGACAGTGGCATGGCGCTGCTCAAGACACGCCCCGAGGCGGTGCACTCACCGAGGACGCTCCGAACTGCTCCAAGTAGTCCACGTCGGCCCCCGTGCCTAGAACTGAGAGGGAGCGGGGCACGCTGTGGACACCATCCCCACGCAACGGGCCACCGCGCTCCCACGAGACAAAGGCCAGCTCAGTGGTGGCCTCGCCCGAGCAGGGGGTCCCCAGAACCCCCGACCCAGGCCCTGCGAACACCGCCCACCACCCACCCTGGACCTGGGGTCCCAGGGCCTTTGCTTTCAGTGGCGTTTCCGGCCTGTCCCCGACACCCTGGCCCGATGGTTTTGTGGGCCGTGAGTTGAGAAGCACCCCCTGGGGTAACAGGCAAAAGCACCCCCTGGGGCTAGATCGCCCTGCTTGAGAACCGCCATTTGAAACGACCCCAGAAAAGTCTGATTTCTGATAATGTGACTTTTGCTTTAAAAACCTAAGGAAGCCTCAAGCCGTAAGTAAAAATTAACTCAACATGGATCAGAGACCTAAACATAAGAACCAAAACTAAAGTTCTTAGAAGAAAACCGAAGAGCAAACCTCCCTGCCGTGGGCTCTGGCAACGGTTTCTTAGGTCTGACACCAAAGTCACAAACAAAAGGAAAAACACAAGTTGGACTTCAGAGTTCACATCTGCGCTTCATCGGACGCGTCAACCCGCAGGACAGGAGGCGACGCCGCAGACCGCGTCTGGCTAGGGACCCCACGCACTGCATGGGAGGCCCTGCCAGTCGGGGCAACACACGGACGGCCAGTGAGCACACGGAGGTCGCACTCCGCACGCCAGGACACCAAACCAGGAGTCGGAGCAGCAAGTGCCCGTGGGTGGGGGCGGGAGGGGGTACGGGCCCGTGGGAGATTGTCCACGGCACCCCAGAAAGTCACAGGCAGGGTGGTGTCGGACCAGGAGCCCCCTCCAGGTTTGCACTCAAGGGAGAGAGGCCGTGCGAGCACACGGAGGCGAGCCCCAGGATGCCGGCGGCCTCGCCATGACGGCTGGGACACACTTGCCACAGAGCGCCTGGCCCCGGACAGGGCACCGTGCCGGCACCCCACAAAGCCCGCACCTTAAGGTGTTCCTGGGTTCCGTGGGGGCAGCGGGCCACCCTATAATAGTCTCTCCACAGCTCCTGGCCCCACCTGCACGAGGACCCTGCGCTTACCCCGGCCGATACGCCCATCTCGTCCTCTGTGCTATGGCTTTTGTGTCACTTGGGCTGAGACCCGCTGAGACCCGCCGAGTCGCCTGGTGGCTTAGGAGCGACCCAGCCCCTCTGGCTCCCGGCATGCATCTCCGCCCACCACCCACTTCCGCTGCCCAGCGGGGGTGAGCTCGGCTCGGCACTGTGGGGTTTCGGCTCAGTGTCTCTTCGACGATCCGAGGCTCTGGGTGTCCCTGTGAACTCGTCACTGGGCACGGCCTCCCCACCCATTGCACGTGTTCCTATGGTTCCTATGGGGTCCCCAGAGCCCTCCGTGTCAGAGGGCCCTCCTCTGGTGAAAATGCCCAGCCTCTGGTGAGCTGGCCGCGCATGAACGCACTTTGAGTTCAGGGACTGACGCGCCTGCAGAATGACCGCCTGCAAAAGCCACTCAACACACGCGCTCATTTCAAGCAAACTGGACGCAGGGACGACGTACCGTCCGCTGGGTCTCGGAAGTGCTCCTCACTCAGGTCTGAGGCCGGCCCTGGCCCCCACTGAGGAGCAGGGAGCGCTGGGTCAGTGGGCACGCCTGTGGGCTCACTGTCTGGCCTGCTGGTGGCCGCTGCTGTCCCTGGAGAATCTGTGCTCTCCTCCTGGAAGAGAGGCGAGGGTCGCCTGGGTAGCTCATTGGGGAACGCCGAGCGGTCAGGGGTCCCAGGTGGGCCTCTGCCCTGCCCAGTCTTGCCCCGCTCCCCCGCTCTGGGGGGAGGGGCAGCACTGTGTCCCATCCTGTCGCCATAGGCAGATGGGGGCGACTGCGCTGGCATGTGCTCCCGCTTGGTCAGGCGCACACACTCCGTACCTTGCCCACCGCCCCTGAGCTCCCTGCCGTGGTCTGCATCACAGGTATCACAGGTGCGCCATCTGCTGAGGCTGACGGAACCTGCCTGAGGAGATGAGAGTCAGTGAGGCCTGCACCCCAGCCCTGAGCTGCCACCTGCCCTGGGAACCCTCACCTGGAAAGCCAGGAGCGGGGGCTACGCTGGGTGCTGGCAAATCCCCCCACCCTTGCCTCACCTGCAAGACAACCTGAGCCTCAGAAGAGGCCTGGGCAGCAGGCGGGAGCTGAGCCGTCCCAGCTCAGTGGGGAGCACCCCAAGAGATGTCCTTATCCCCAGAAAATTGGCCAAGAAGCGGGTGGGAGGGAGGGCAGCCTGGGCACGGCCAGGGGCTGTGTCAAGTGTGACTGTTGGGTGGTCGGGCACTGGCCAAGCTGCTCCTAGGCCCTAACGCCTGGCAGCCACGGAGCAGCTGTCCCCAGAGAGCAGCGAGCCGTATGACGAGGTGCACATGGGCGGCTCGGGCCCGGGGGAGCAGAGGCGCCTGGGCCCCAGCACTGCCCTGCTCCAGGTAACCCTCTCGGCCTCAGGCACGTTACAGACAACTCTCAGGAAGCCACTGGCAGCCCCACCACGGGAGGGGCCTTCCAGCTCTCGCTATTGCCCAGCAGCCTGCGGCTGCAGACCAGCCGCCCCAGCGCCGCCCGCCACCCCCGACTCACTGGCTCTGAGGTGAGGCCCCTGCGGCTGCAGGCCCAGTGCTCAGCTGCTCGGTCACCAGACCAGCTGGCCTGCTCTGGGGGTGCTCTGAGGGCAGGGCTTCTCCACTGCCTCCAAACGGGTTAAAGTTGGGGTCATCCAGCTTGTCCCAGTCCAAGTTGTAGGACCCCCGAGGAGGGAGAGCGGGGCTCTGGCCTGCCTCTGCGGGGGCCTTTTCCTGCCCGGCCTCGGGGCTCCTCAAGGGAGGCGGGGGGCCGGGCCTCTGCCCCAGACTCCTCGGCGAAGGTGGTTTTTTGCTTGTGGCGTCGTCACAGAGGTCCAACTCTAGCGTGATGGGCCCACTCCCTGAAGAGTCGGTCACTTGGCCGCCGGCCGCTTCCTCCCGAGGACTTGGGGCCGTGGCATCCCCAGCCTCTGGGGGGCCGGCCCGGGCCCCAGGCAGGTCTGCACAGGGGCTTTCTCTGCGGGGGCCTTCGGGCTGAGTACCAGCGGGGGACGTGACCATGGCCGAGGAAGTGGGGACTTCGCTCGAGCCGTCTCCCGTGGCTGTGTGAGGGTCCTCTGCTCCGTCTCGGGGTACCATCCTGGGGGTGTCTTCTGGGATCTCAGAGGAGGATGCAGCAGTTTTCTCTAGAGAATGAGAACCGGCGTGTCCCTCCGCGCCCTGCCCGGGGCTGTCAGGCACTTGTCCTGCAGATGCCAGTCGCTTTTCAAGCCTTGCTGGGGTCTGGGGGGAGCTGGACGGGTCCCGGCTGGCCTGGGGAGTGGAGGCAGGCCCGCTCGAATGCTGGTCGGTGGAGGCTGGTCTCCAGTCCTCTGGCGGGGGATCTGCGCCAGCCGCCGGCTCCCGAAGACTCCCGTTGCTCGTCTGGGCATCCGCTTCCTTAGTGAACTGTTGGCTTTTTAGAAACAGACTTAGTTAACACTAAGGGACCCGTCGCTTTAGTTTAAGTAGGTTTTACTCCACGTTGAACATTAGCTAAAGACAGGAAAGAATAACATTCAGTCAACCTTCTCCTTGGGCCAGCTGGAGACGCAGGTTACTGAGTGAGACAGGGCAGAGAGGTACCAAAGGACCAAAGTGAAGTGTTCTGTGTGGCCCGTTTTTCCCTCTGGCTGGCTGCCCCCGGCTACGCAGTCAGGACGCACGGGGTCCACTCTTCACCGGAGAGAGGCAGGCAAGAGCGAGCGGCTGGCCTTCGGCCAGAGCAGAGCGCTGGCTCCTGGGGTCACCTCCCCCGGGTCCCCTCCCTTCTCGGGGTTGTCATGAAGGAACAGTGCTGGAGTCGCTCCTCCTGCTGACCTTCCACCGGAGGAGGTGAAAATACAAAGAAATTGACAAGTAGCAAAGAAACCCGGGGAGAGAGGCCAGGAGGGTGTTTTACTCAAGTGGAGGGTGTACTAGAGGCGTCTGGCTTGCTTACCTTCTCTGTATGTCTAGAATTTATTTAGAAAACAAGCAATTTAAGCGGTCGAAGTCAGTGAACGTCAGAACAGAAACATGCTGGCGAGCCCCCCGCACGGGGACGCGGAGGCCCCGGCGGAGGCCCCGGCACAGCCGGCAGCCCAGCCTGACCGGGAGCAAAGAGCGGCAGTGGGCCTCTCCGCAGTAGCGGGAAAAACCCGCCCGGGCCGAGTCCATCACCGCAGCCGCCCCGGACACCCACCCAGCGCCTGGTCGGGCTGCCAGGAAGCTTCCGGTTCAAGTCAGATGTTCAGGACCTGCCCCTTCGGCCACTCGTACTGACCACACTGCACAACAGATTCCTCTGCCTCTGACAGCAACGCCCACCCCTAACTTCCTCCAAGGCCCGACCTTAAGAGCCCAGGGCCGACTGGTGGGCGGAAGGGAGACCCCAGTGAAATGCAAAACAGACAGAGCCGCAGTGCGTCCCTCCTCGGAGACGTGGTCAGGACACCGCATGAGCTCAGGGAGCGGAACCTGAGGCCAGTCTGTTGGCAAGGGCACGACGGGGGAGCGGATCCTGAAACGTGAACCTACTCTACGCAGTCCGCGGCCCACTTTCCCAGACCCGCGGCCAGGGCTGGCGCTCCGGACCACGCAGTGCAGAGGGTGGGAGAGGCCCTGCTGCGCCCCCGCCAGGCCCCTCGGAGACGCCGCAGAGTGCGGCACGCCGGCAGCACCAGCACTTACTTCTTGGGGGTCCAGCCCAGGTGAGAGCTTTCCAATCCGTCGGTGTCGCCCAGGGCCAAATAAGCCTCGAGGTTGCTGCTCATGCTAGGGCTTAAAATCCTGTGCGTCTGTGGATCCCGCAGAGGTGTCTGGAAAGTCACCTGGCGGGGAGGGAAGAGGGCCAGCACCCACTCAGTGATTCAAGTCTTCAGCCACCATGTCGGCAACACCGCGCCCTGCCAGCTCAGCGTGTCGCCAGGACAGCGGGTCCTGGGGTGACCCGACACCGCCGGCCTTACTCAGGCTAACACATGCTCACCTTCATCGCTCTGGCTATGCTCTTGGGGGGCACATTTTCTTTCTGTGACAGACGGAGAACAGACGATCTTCCGGTAAGTTCCGGTGGTGAAAACAGGAAGTCGCAGTTTTCTGTACTTCTGTCACAAGTGACGTTTTCATCATTGAAGATCTGCAGATTCATTCTGGGAAAGCGGACAGTTTGTGTCAGCGTGAGGGCCGTGTTGCCCAGATGCAGGACGTGACACCAAGAGCTGACCCTGCTTTGTCGGACAGTCCCTGTCCTGCTTCAGGGAACTATGACTCTTCAAATGTACTCTGAACCACCAGCTCCCAGGACCACGAGCTGGAGGGGCCTTCGACTCGCGTGGGTGGAGGAAGGACAGCGTCCTCACACTAACTCAGGCTTTAGGGACAAGTCAGTTGAGTGCTGGCTTGGGAGAAAACAGGGCAAACAGAGGAAGCCTCAGTCTCCCCACAAGCCTCCGCTCAAGGCGCCGAGGCCTCCTGAGGGCTGGAGCAGGTGGCCCAGTCAGCAGAGGACTGAGAAGCAGGAGGGCGCCGAGCCTCGCTCTCCCCTCACGGGGCTGGAGAATGGAGACCAAGAGAGGACCAAGGCCCAGGAAGGAGCTGGAGAAGGAACGAGCAGTGAGGGTGAAATCATTTCATGGAGAGTCCAGGAGCTCCCACATTGGGGCCTGGAGGAGTCTCGGAAACACACCAGGGGCCTCCAATCAAGCCCAGAAGGTCCTAGAACAGCCCACTCTTCCTTTCCAGTCCTGGTGGTGGTCCCGGACTTGACACACAAATCTAGGCGCCGCCAGAGGGCTGAGCCTTGGCCTGCCCCGCCTGCCCCGGGGCACCATGGGAACTTGCTGGTGGTGGAATATCAAAGCGGGGGCGGGGGCGGCGGGGGGAAGGCTGGGGCAGGGGGAGCAGAGGCAGTCCGGAAAGGTCAGAGTGGGAGGGAGGCACGACGAGATGCCTCTGAAAAGGTGGGGCAGGGTGCTGCCTGTGGAGGGACAGGAAGGAAGTGAGAAGGGGGTTCCACCAGCCGGCTAGAACCGGGGGTCCAGGACCCTGGGGCAGCAGGCCCAACTCACTGTGCAGAAGCAGGAGAGATAAGTAGAAGTGAAGGGGTGACTCAGGATTTGGGCCTGAACAACTGGGTAAAACGGAGGAGCCTAGAAGCCACCTTTCTGGCAGTCCTTGCCTGGCGCTGGGGCGAGGGGAGGGCAGCACAGCGCTGGCGGCCTGTCAGGTTTGGCTTCTACTAACGATGGGGGTCCGGGGAGGGGCTCCCGAGCAGGGTGTGCCTGCGTGCTAAGAGCTGCGGTGGGGAAGGCGCGGGCCCAGGTGTCGCAGCAGGTGAACTGGAGCCGGCGATGGGGGATGGCCCTCAGGTGGGGCTGCCCGAGGAAGGGGGCGGGCCACACAGAGCTGCGAGGGCCGGCGAGGAGTCGGGGCTGAAGGCGCCGGCAGGGGTCTGGGGTGGGGCGGGGACGGGCCCTTGTAAGACGCAGCTACAGGTGGAATTTGAGGCTGGACGAGGTCCCCGCGGGAGGGAGGAGGCCCATGGGCAGCGTCCCACGGACGACCCTCCTGGAGGGCGACCGAAGAGACAGAGAAGCCGGGGAGGCCGGAGCCCCCAGTGTCTCCGCCCCCGGCTGCAGCCGGGCCGGCAGGATGAGAACCGGCGAGGTGTCCCTAGAAGGGCAGCGACAAGAATCCGCGGCGGGCTCGGGGAAGAAGGGGCCGTTCGAGCAGCGGCCCCGGAAGAGGAGCCGCAGAAAAGGCGGGAGAGGGAGGTTTCATCAAGAGTAGATGTCGGCTGGCGTCCACCCGCCGCCATAGTGACCGGAGGATGGGACGGAGCCCCGAGCCCGGGACCCCGCCGCCTTACCTGCCGGCCACGAAACGGAGGAGAGGGCACAGGAGGCGCGGAGTCCGGGATCCTGTCCGCCCGCCGCCGATTCAAATACCGACGGTTGGCCCGCGCGGCCAATCAGCGAGCGGCCCGGGGCGTTACGCACGGGGCGCCGATGGCCAATGGGAGGCAGCGCCTTCGGCCACGCCCCCAGCACACCGGCGGTTGTGCTTCCGGGGTGAGGGACACACTGGGCGTGGTGGGAGCCGGAAGTCCTTGAGAACTGCGGCTCGCTCAGCAGACGAAGGCGGGGGGCTGGCTGCTTGTGGATAGGCGGTGATAGCGGGCTCGCCGTTGACCGGGGCTCTCCGGCTCTTCTGCGGACGCGCCTGGGATGCGCGTAAAGGCTGAGGCCTGAGAGCCACTCACACAGGTCTCAGTTTCCCTACCTGTAAAAATGAGACCAGGTGCGGCACCGCCCTCAAGGCGGGCCTTGAGGAGGAGCCAAATGTGCGGAAGACTGGAGGGGCGCGGGAACTTCATTTCCCGGAGTGCTCTGCGGGCGGCCCGGTGGCCGGACTCCATCTCCCAGTGCGCCCCGTGTCTGCCCAGTGGCCGGACTACAACTCCCGGTGCGCCCCGCGGGCTGGGACTCAATTTCCCAGAGTACCTCGCGCTGGGCCGGCGGCTGTGGCCCCCGCGTCTGCAGTACCGGGACTCTCGGGCCTGTCGGTTGCGCCGTTGGCGGCGTCCTCGTCCGGACGGCTTGGTGGTTGTGCCGGCAGCGCCGCGATGGACAGCCCCGAGGTCACCTTCACGCTGGCCTACCTGGTGTTCGCCGTGTGCTTCGTGTTCACGCCCACCGAGTTCCACTCGGCCGGGCTCACGGTACAGAACCTGCTGTCCGGCTGGCTGGGCAGCGAGGACGCCGCCTTCGTGCCCTATCACCTGCGCCGCACAGCCGCCACGCTGCTGTGCCACTCGCTGCTGCCGCTAGGTGAGGCGCCCGACCCTCCTGGCCAGTGTCCTGGTGGGCAGAGGTGGCCAGCCGAGTCGGAGGCTCGCAGCCGAGCT